GCCCCACCGCTCCCGCAGCTCCATGGACGTGCCCCGCCTGCCGTCCCCGCCGCAGGAGAAGGGCCCTCCGGAGGTGCTGGTCCTGAGCCGCCCGCCGCTCGCCCGCTCCTCGCCCGCCTACTGCACCAGCAGCTCGGACCTCACCGAGCCCGAGGGCGGCCGCGGGGGCGCGCTGGGGGTCGGCAAGAGCGTGTCCATGCTGGACCTGCAGGACGGACGCGTGGACAGCATCCCCAGCCTGCCGGCCGAGCTGCTGGCCGGGGGCGCGACCCCCGGGGCCGCCGGCCAGGGTGGGCTGCGACCCGGGCGCCTCTCGCAGGGCAGCGCGTCCAGCCTGGCACCGCCGCGCCTCGGGGTGCCCGAGCCCGGGGCTCCGCAGCTGCGGGTGCCGCTGTCCTTCCAGAACCCTCTCTTCCACCTGGCCGCCGACGGACCCCTGCGCGGCCCCGACGGCGGCGGAGGGAGCGGTGGGAGAGGCGAGGGGGGCGGCGGAGACGGGGGACACTTCGGGGCCGTCGCCCCGCCGCCGCTGCACGGTTACAGCAAGAGCGAGGAGCTGGCGAGCCCTCCCCAAAAACACATCACGCACAGCCACAGCTACAGCGACGAGTTCGGCCGGCCGGGCGGCGACTTCGGCCGCAGGCAGCTGTCGCTCCAGGACACGCTGGCCCCACCGCAGATCACCATCGGGGCTCCCCCGCCGCCCACCCCACGGGGGTCGCGGCCCGGGAAAGGGGCCGGGGGTCCCTCGGCGCTGGGGGTGCCCCAAAAGCCGCGTCCGGCCAGCGGGAACCTGCTGGCATCGCCCGAGCCCGCCTACGGGCCGGCGCGCTCCCGCCAGCCCTCGCTGGCCAAGGAGGCCTCGGTGGCCGGGATGAAGCCGCCCGTCACCAAGCAGGTGAGGGGACACGGGGACATTGGGGACATGGGGGACTTGGGGACTTGGGGGACTTTGGGGACATTGAGGACATTTGGGTTCTGGGGGACTTGGGGACACTGGGGACATTTGGGGACATCGGGGACATGGGGGGTTGGGGATGTGCAGGGTGTTGGGGGGGTGTGGGGACATGGGGACATGATGGGGACATTGGGGACTTGGGGGACTTTGGGGACATTGAGGACGTTTGGGGTGTGGGGGACTTTGGGGACATTGAGGACATTTAGGGACATCAGGGACATGGGGGGTTGGGGATGTGCGGGGATATGGGGACACTGGGGACATGGGGAGATGTGAGGACTTTGGGGACATTTGGGGATATTTGGGGACGCTGGGGGACGTGGGAAGATGTGGGAACCTTGGGGACATTTGGGGACACTGGGGGACATGGGGAGATGTGAGCACCTTGGGGACACTGGGGACATTTGGGGACTTTGGGGACACTGAGGACATTTGGGGTGTGGGGGACTTGGGGACACTGGGGACATTTGGGGACATCGGGGACATGGGGGGTTGGGGATGTGCGGGGATATGGGGACACTGGGGACATGGGGAGATGTGAGGACCTTGGGGACATTTGGGGACGCTGGGGACATGGGGAGATGTGAGGACCTGGGGGACATTTGGGGACATTTGGGGACGCTGGGGGACATGGGGAGATGTGAGGACCTTGGGGACACTGAGGACATTTGGGGACGCTGGGGGACATG